CTGGCCAAATATGAATACATGGAAGAGCAAGTAATATTAACTGAGAAAGGTAACACAACTGGGGCGAGGGAGGGACAAGCGTCCTGTGCCTGTCGACCCCTGCGAAGCCAACACTGTCTATCCCTTGCAGATCTGCTAGAAGATGGTTTCGGAGAGCATCCCTTCTACCACTGTCTGGTGGCAGAAGTTCCCAAGGAGCACTGGACTCCGGAAGGTAACCACCCTCCTCTTCCAGGAGCTGATCAGAGAGCCTGTTGGGTAAAATGTAGTGCCTGCTGTGTAGAACCACTTGCCTACACAGGCCCAAGTTACTTAGTGAGAAGTTGACCAGAAATAATAACCAGCCAGTGTGGAAACATACTGAGGAAAAAAACAAAGATTTGCTGCACTTAATCTTGTTGGGTGTCATCTAGTCGATTCCGACTCAAAGAGACCCCATGTGACAGAATAGAACTGCGCCATAGAGTTTTCTTAGCTGTAATCTTGAGGAAAGTAGACAAAGAGCTAAGTATCAGTGCTGTGAAGACTGGGAAAAGTTAGGTATAATGTCTGTTCTTTTGTTGTAATTCAGTTTCATAAAATGGTTCTTGTTTGACCCTAACGTAACCTTTTTTTGTAATTGTGTTAAATCACATTTTTTTCTTTAATTTGTCCCAATCTTCAGGTTACAGTCTCTAGCTTCGCCATGTACATGGCCCTTCCGTGTACATGGATGGGCGGGGAGGTAACTAAAAGATCCTTTACACAATAAAGTAGATGATCATGATAAATGAGGTAAGGCCCTATTATCACACACTTGAACACGGTAGATCAGAACCTTCGTTATACTCGCTTCCTGTCTGTTTACAAAGGAAAATAAAATGGCTAGAAAGTTTAATTTAAAACTTTTGCCTCCCTTTGGAGTTGTAGACATCTGTTAAGCTCAAGTCAGATGCTTAGTTTTGGTTTGGTTTTGTTTTTGTATTTTTGCTGGTCCTTGTTGACCAGTCAGAAGATATAGAGCTAAAAGGGGAAGTTGGGTGGGAGATTACATTTTCCCTGAAGTCTGTTCCCCAGGCTAGAAGAAATTGATACAAAACATTGTAAGGGATAAGGTGCCTTTCTTTTAAAGAACTAAATGGGTGTTAAATAATGGTTATGGCTGCTGCTTCTGGCTTAAAAACTGGGGAAAGCAAATTGGATATATGTGAATTGGAAAGGCAAGTTCCTGAAATTCAGTGTTGCACCTTTGACTTGATGTACCTGACGTTTAAGGAAGCAGAGTTCCCAGATTACAGATATTTACTATTCTGAACTGCCGTGTCAACCTGACTTATTCCCAAATCAGCATACCAGTATATCAGTAGGCTGTGAATAATGTGTGTGTGTTTACTTTAAGACCATAGCAGTTTAGCTCTGGCAAGTAATTAAAGCATTCTTGCTTCCTGAGTGTGAGCTACAACAGATTGAAGAGTGGCCAGCTCACAGTGCTAGCCTGGCTTCAGCTAGCTCTAATGTGTGCTTCTTGCCACTATGTGTTCTGAAGACAGTGACATTATCCCACCGTGGCCTGGGCTGCACTATCATAAAAGGAGACACTCCAATGCAGTGGCTACTTAATTCAGTAATCTATGCATGTCTGTTTTCTAAAACCAATGATAGGCTTCTGTTTTGCAGCTGCAACTTTTATGGATTTTTCTTCTCTACAACTCATGTGATACTCTTGTTACAGGACACAGCATTGTTGGTTTTGCCATGTACTATTTTACATATGACCCCTGGATTGGCAAGTTACTGTACCTTGAGGACTTCTTCGTCATGAGTGATTATAGAGGTATCCTGAGTTGAGTTCAGGGGGCAGTGGGTCTAAAGAGAGCTAAAGGCTTAGACTCCTTAAAATGATTTTTTAAATTGTACTTTTAGGCTTTGGCATTGGATCAGAGATTCTGAAGAATCTAAGCCAGGTATGTCTTTGTTGCTGGTGTCTTGAGTTTGTAAGGATGACTGGATTGTTTTAATAACTGACTCAAAATTGGATCTTAGAAAGCAGGTGAAATGTCACTGAGTTTTGTTTTACTCCTCCCCCTTACACCAGGTGGCTATGAAATGTCGCTGCAGCAGCATGCACTTCTTGGTGGCAGAATGGAATGAACCATCTATCAACTTCTACAAAAGAAGAGGTGCTTCTGACCTGTCCAGCGAAGAAGGCTGGAGACTCTTCAAAATTGACAAGGAATACTTGCTAAAAATGGCAACAGAGGAGTGAGGAGTGCTGGGGTAGACTATAAGTTCCATTCTATTTAGAATAAATTCTCAATTTCCTGCTTTCTATCCTGTCTGTAGTGGAATAATAGAACGAGCTCCCATTCCAAAGCTTTATTACCAGTGGCGTCGTTGCATGTTTGAAAGGCAGTCTATTTAAGATGGCAATTTTGTGTGCAGTTTGGAGTCAGATTTTTCCTTGAACATCTTTTGATAAACAACAAGGTGGTGTGATCTTTATATATGAAAAAAAAAAACTTCATTCTTGTGAGTCATTTAAATGTGTACAATGTACACACTGGTACTTAGAGTTTCTGTTTTGATTTCTTTTTTAATAAACTGCCCTTTGATTTAATTGTTCAGTGTAAGCGTTTTCACTAGTCCTTTATCTCTCCACACTCCTCTTGCTGTTGAGTCCAAAGGGAAAAAGCCCACAAACCTAACTTGGTAACTTTTACAGTTGTTTCCAAGCAGCTTTTAACTTCATCAAGTTTTGATACTCTTTTGCTGTGCTGTGCTAGCATTATCAAGGTCTGGAAAAAGCCAGTAGCATTCCAAGGTTTTATATGTAGCAACATGTAAAACAAGACTTTACATTGATGACATTGTACACTTCATCTGACTACTTTTTTTTTTCCAAGAGCTGAAAAAGACCATTATTTCATGGGTTAGAACTAAGGCCCACAGTGAATAAGCCCATTGTTTTACAAGTAAAAAGTGATAGAAGTGGGATTATGAAACACTGAAAAAAATCTTAACCACAAAAACCCCATCCCACACAAAGTGCTATTTGAAGGGAGAGTAGGCTACTTCGCCAATTTAGGCAGGAGCAAAAATGGCACATTTTTACAAGAAATTTGGGAACAAAGGAATTGTTAGGCTTGACTGGGGTGGATAGGCACCAATGAAGTCATTAGCATCCTATTTGGAGGGTAAGTTGGGTACTAAACATAATGGATGTCTGTAGAGGGACAATAGGAGTGCTCAAAACCACCAGAAGGAAGAAGTAAACTTTCACAAGGACTGAAAATGAAACTCAGAAAAGGCCTGAGGAAGAGACAGTACTTCTCTTACGTAAGAGAATTCCTTTTACTGCTGATGATACCTAAAATCCTAAACCCCTTAATTCCCCAATAATGAAAACAATCATTTATACAAGAAGCACTGTACTGATTGGCAAGGTTAAAGTTTCCCATAAGAAGTCAGCTGAAAAACTACATCTGGCTCTGTATATAAAATGCTGGGCTCCGTGTTAGGGGGGATAAAAAGTGTTATCTCTATTGTATTTAATCCTGGAGAACTTTGGGATTTGCTGGTGGCTCAGAAAGCATGCCATGAGAACAAGCTTCCAGTCAATTCTCAACCTAGGGACCTGTTAGAAAGGCATGTAGCTATGTGAGAGAAACATGCAAAAATACAAGAGTAACAAAACACAAAGAGGAGTGCCTGGGTAGTGCAAATGATTAATGCACATGGCTACCAATGGAAAAGGTGGTTCAAATCCACCCAAAGGTGCCTTGGAAGAAAGGCCTGGTGATCTACTTTGGAAAACTCAGCCATTGAAAACCCCGTGGGGCACAATTCTACTCTGATAAACATGGGATCACCATGAGGCAGAGTCCACTTGATGGTAACTGGTTTGTTGTCTTTTTAAAACACAAAGAGCCTTGTGGGGAAAAAAGACATTTTGAAAATTGTGTTTTGGAAAGTGGGCCTCCTAGAGGAAAACAACTACATGCTGACTGTGAATATATGAATAAATCAAGTTAACCAAGCAAGTTACATTATTACAATATGATTGTTTCCTCACCCTTCCTAGAGCTTATCTCTAAAGGCCCTGTGTTGTCAAGATGAAAGCTTTTATGTAGTTTTTGTATCCACTTTAGAGAAGTCCCGTACGTTTAACATTTAGAAGCTGAACCACTACAACATCAGTCCACTGAATGTTCCAGAACTCAATTACAAAGACATCTCTTTAAAGAGTTTTAACTAGAAAGCAAACCTGTAAAGCTTGAAATCCCAGGCAAATAAGAAAACATATTCGAGGGACATTATATGAAAGGAAATAACAGTGATAAACCTGGCAAAGAAAAAAAATCCATGTAAGCAACACCCTATAAAGATAATGTTAAAATTAGTATTTTACTAAAATATGCCTGACAGTCATTTGGGAAGAACAGTATTTTAGAGCTAAACTCAACTCACTGCCATCGAGTCCAACTCAAGCGACCCCTCCTCAGGTTTCTGAGGCGGTATCACTGTGGAAGTAGATTGCCCAACCTTCCTTCTGAGGAGTGGCTGGTAGGTTTGAACGGCCAGTCTTCTGGTTAGCAGTCAAGTGCTTTAGGCACTATGCTACCAGAGCTCCTCATTTTAGGCCTAAGGACTTACCAATTATTGATTGTTCTTGTGCTGTCACATCAATTCTGACTCATAGGGGACCCTACAGGACAGAATAGAACTGTGCCATAGGGTTTCCTAGGCTGTAATCTTTATAGCAATGGATCATCAGGTTTTTCTCCTGCAGAGCTGCTCATGGGTTCAAACTGCCAACCTATTGGTTAGCAAGAATTTAACCATTGTACCACTAGGGCTACTGCCAAAAGGGCAAGGACCTCCTCTAACCCCACAAGAAGAAGACAGAATCACCATCAACAGCCCAAGGCCTATTCCTGCGAGGTCAGACATGCTGCCTCCCTTCAGCCCTTTCACCAGCTCTTACATGAACCATTCTTCCCACAGCACCCACCACCTCTCTGCTGTGTTCAAGAATTCACTGCAGTGGCCACACAGAACTCACAGATTATGGGGTTTGTTAGGAAAGCAACAGGCTACAATTCAAGTTCAGGAACATGCTCAGTCTCTCTCAGCCCACTGTCTCTCAACCAACAGTCTCTCTCAGTGTCTCTGAGTAGTGTGTGTCTCTTGAGGTCTCTCTCAGCAGTGCATGTCTCTCACATCTCTCTCTCAGCAGTGTATGTCTCTCGTGTCTCTCAGGAGCACATCTTTCTCAGCCAGCAGTCAGAGACTCCTTCTGCCTCTAGAAGGGCTCCTTTTGAGCCTGGCAGAGTGACCACTAACCAATCCCAACATCAGAATTCTACACACCTGAGAGGGAGCAAACTTCTCAGAAAAATTACTTTGTGCTGCTCACAACAGAAATACCCTAGGTTGATAATTTTAACAATCAGGAGCTATTCAGTTGCTCACAGCAAATTCCACCAGGGAGTTTACAAAGACTTATGGCTAGAAAAGCCATACCAGGTAATTTACTACACTGCAGCTCCTTTGCCAAAAATAAGGATATTTGGGGGTTTTCTGTGCTTTTTTAAAAAATAAATAATATAGATGATAGGTTATTTGTTATGTTTATTATGGCCCGAAAAGACTAATGAAGTGAAAATTTGTAAACTATTAAAGTAGGAAGTAGCTGGAGATTGCTCATGCTACAGACCCCATCACAGGATTGATAGCAGAGCCATTGGTCTGTCTTTGTCCAAACCAAAGCCCAAGATCATTGTTGTGGATTGAATTGTGTCCCCCAAAAATATGTGCTGTAAATCCTAAATCCCTATACCTGTGGCTGTAATCCCATCTGGGAACAGGACTTTGTTATGTTAATGAAGCCATATCAGTATGTCAAGTCGGAACCAACTCATAGCGACCCCTCCTTGGGTTTCCAAGGTGGTATCACTATAGAGGTAGATTGCCCAACCATCCTTCCAAGGAGTCGCTGGTGCATTTGAACCACCAGCCTTCTGGTTCACAGTCAAGTGCCTTGGGCACTGCTCTTAAACCAAACACATTGGAATATAAAACAAGCAGATTAGCCACAAACAGAGGGGAAGATACATGCCAGGTGAAAATTGCCAAGGAAATGGGGAACAGAAGCTGAAAAGAAACAAGGACCTTGCAGAATCAACACAGAGAGAAAGACTTCCCCTAGAGCTGGCGCCCTCCTAAACTGTGAGAAAATAAATTTCTGTTTGTTAAAGCCATCCACTTGTGATATTTCTGTTATAGCAATACTAAGAACTAAGACAACCATCAACTGCTTACATTCCCCTGGGTAGCCGTTCTAGGGAAAGAAAGTTTTTTTCGCACAGAAATGCAGAAGAAACAATTAAGAAACCGAATGATTTATTAATGCCTTAAACCAGGGCTTCGAACTACTTCATTCTGGTTTAACCATTGGGATCTTGTTAAAGTGTAGATTCTGATTCAGTATAAGGAGGTCCGGTGGTGCAGTGGTTAAGGCATTTGGCTGTTAACCCAAAAGTCAGTGGTTCAAGCCCATCAGCTGCTCCATGAAGAAAGATGAGGCAATTGGCTTCTGTAAACATTTACAGCTTTGGAAACTCAACAGGCGTTGCGATGAGTCGAAATTGACTCAATGGCAGTGAGTTTGGTTTGATTCAGTAATATTTGGGGTGGAAAGGCAAATTCTCAGCAGAGGGTTGAACCAGAATGAACTGCTTTGAAGCTCTACTTTACTCTACTCAAATACCACTGAGTGAGTACTTGCCCAGGCCTATAAGAGATGGTACTTACCACTGCTTCCTGAGGCTGCTTGGCAGCAACTGATGGAGCTGACCTTGCCCTGGAAAAGCAGCATCATCTCCTGCTGGGAGTGAAGCATCCTGCTCCTTGACTGGCAGGCTTGGCTTTCAGAGTCTGCAGGTAGTCAGTCATATCCGCTCCTAGAATTCTGTCTGTTTGCTTGACCTGG